TAGCTTCTAGATGCTGAAGTAGTTGATTAAATAATGTTTTTCAAGTAACTTAAAAAATAGGAAGAACAGAAATTGGCCGATAGTTTGAAACTTCTGTTGGATCACCAGATTTAAAAATGGGAGTAATCTGAGCAAACTTACAAGCATCAGGGAAAATTGACTGCACAATACATAAATTAAGCAAATGATGAAATAATGATAAAGTGTTGACATGCATTTTCAAGAAATCCATGCTTCTAAGACATCCTTGCTTCCACTGCATGTAAAACACATCGATTCATATCTAAGCATGACTCATTGATAATTATGTATCTGTTATTTTTGTACAGCTTACACCCACCACCACCTCGTCACTCACACGTAGCACTCCAAGAAAGTGAGTAGTGGTTGTCTGGGAGCAATAGAAGATGCCTGCAAAATCTTCAGTAAACAATTCAGGTACATAAATCAAAAAGAATATATTTGAGAAACGACATCCAGAAGAAAACAGTGTCTTGTAAATTCTAAAGTTGCGCTTTCAGAGATGTGGGGACCATCAAACTTTTAAGAAACACAAAAAAGGTAACAATGTGTGAGTGATGTTAGCAAAGTTAGCGAGCTTTAGCAATCTGCCTCTGTGCAAAGGTTCTTTACCCGACTCTCACACAAAGAGATTTAGTCAATATTTGCTATACATTAAGTTTTCTGTGTTAAGTATACTGAATGTTTAGGGCACTAGTTTATTTTTTATTTTTCTTGTTTTTCTGGTCTTGACTCAGTCTCATCCACACTCAGTCTTATCTTGTTTAGTCCAGCCCCTAAAAGTCTTGGTCTTGTCTTAAGCTTCCATTATACATCAGTAAGACATGAGACAGCAGGTTGGAGATTCCGTAGTTTTGGACATCTTTTTCCTGAGTGAGTATAAATCGGCTGAAGATGTGTCAGACTGTAAATTATCCTATGTAGATCCTCCCTCTGCCCTCCCACAGCTCATATAAGTACATAAACAGAAATGAAGATGGCTGGATCTTGTATTTTTTTATCACTCAATGATCAGTGTTGTGTTGGGTGAAAAAGAGTCTGCAGCGGAAAAACTCATTTTATTTATTTTTTTTATTTTTTATTTTTTTAACAGTGGTGTTGGAAATAAAGACGTGAAAAACTGCAAATCATCTGTGTTCAGTAGGATTAAATCAGCTGCCTTTTCTAGCTCTTTTAACAACTAGCTTCAGGAAAAATGAAACAATTTAAACAAAATAGCCTGGAGAAGGTAGCTGTTATGTCCCCTGGCTTGGTCTAGGAGTTTAAAGGGACTAACATMAATCTAGACAATGAAGGAGGGGTCAAAATGGCATTTAAGATGTTTATTTTCTGCCATGTTTTAGGTTTCTTTTCTATAAAGACTGATTCAAAGACTTCAGGGAGAGCTCAGGCCAAAATAACAAACAAAACAACCCTGAAAGAAAAATAAAATTTAAACTTACCTAACCCCAATGAAAATAAAACATACAAACCTAAAATAACCTTACCTAACAAACACATAAACAGGAGAAAACTAAGGTTAAACAAAAATAACAAAACAAAAACAAAAGGCAGCTCTCCCCTACAAAATCAGTCTGACCAAGTTTTATTAGTTTGTAAAATAAAGAACCCTTAGCTGACAACAATCAATGGTGTATGGCAGTCAAGTGGCCCATAGGCGCAGAAGTCCAGCTTCACAGCCATTAAATAGGGCCCAGATAATTGACTGGCTTGAGACCAAAGGAGCAGAACCCAATCACAGGAGAGACACAGGAGAGGAGGCGGAGCCTTAAAGAAAACACAAGGCATTACTTCAATGAAAAAACACAAACAGCCACACTGGGGATGTAACATCCTCACCCATAAGAACAAACATCTAAGTTTGTTAACTGTGCATGTGATCACATTCTTGAGAGGGTATCTACCAAAATGTTGTCACATCCTTTTTTGTGCTTGATTTCCATATTGTAGTTTTGGGAGATTAGAGCCCACCTCATGAGTCGTTGATTGCTGTTATACATACGTGAGAGGAACACAATAGGATTGTGGTCAGTGAAGACCTCCACAGCTTTTGAAGTGGATCCCACGTATACATCAAAGTATCGAAGAGCCAGAAGCATGGCCAGAGTCTCCTTTACAATCGTTGAATACCATCTTTGATGGGTATTGAACTTCTTACA